AAATCCATCTGTACAAGTAGACCCTAATGCCCATATTTATCTGACATTTGACTGCAGGTATAGATAAGAAAACACCTGTGTGGATCACTTAGCAGGATCAGTCTCACAGCAGGGAGAAAAAGCCAGTAAGAATGTATGTCTTCAGGACACTGCATGCTTTCTCTGTTCAAACATGCAAACTAAAAAGCATGAAATGATCTTGGCTGCTCCCGAGCACACAACTGTCTGAACAACTCTTTTTACATTGGCCATGGTACCTTGCCATCAAGTTTTCAATATGCCAGGCAGATGATCCCTGATAATAGTAACCAGCTTGCATTTTTCTCATCCAGCAAAGAGTCAGCAAGACACAACACCCTGCTGACTTTTGCTATTCAGATATACTTGTGGGTTGGGAAACTTTGTATTAAATGACATAGCCCTGCCTGGTCAAGTTTTATACTCTTATATTCCTCACAGACCTAAATTTACAAGAGCACCAGTATAAGCCCTTAGTATTTCCAGGGGTATTAGGTTGATGTGCTCCTTTTGCAGAGAGCACGTGCAAGGGGACTAGCAATTAGTCTTCATAACCAAAGAAATGAGAAAGGGAAATCTGGCACATATTGGCTACCTTTATAGGAGATGCAGAAGAACAGCTGTCACATGGTAGAGATTTTTTGTTAAAAGTTCCTACCAGATGTCACCATCTGCTACTGCTCTATGAAAAAGAATAAAAAAAGGAGACTGAAAATTTCTCAAAAAAAGAAAAAAAAAAGAACAACAGAATATATAAATTCAGAAGACATTGAAACATATTTATGGCTTATGGGAGAACCCCTTATCCATTTGCCCTCCTGGCAAAACAGAGATACAGACGTACAGTAAAAGCCAAGAGCATGCCCCGTTCTCTTCAAATCGTGGTTTCTTTTCATATTGCTCTTACTACTAGTACGTTGACAATCTTCAGCCTGCAATCTAACACCTAGCCATTTCCTTCCTGGCTGAGAGAGATCACAGAAATGAGCAGTTGTATCCTTTCCCTCTGGCTATACAGCGATGGTCTGATGACAACTGCTTTACCTGAGTTGGTATCAGACAAATAAAAATTTCCCACTGAACGATCTACATAGTGATGTCATGCGTGGAGACAAAGCACCTATTACTCTGGGAAGAAAAAAAAAAAAGAACTAACAAAAAAACAAACAGAACTTCTGTTGCATTGTGTCAGGAAACATGCTGTACATGTTTGTACATCTTGGTAGATAAAGATCAGATGAGCCAAGCAATGAAGTGGTTAACCAAATCGGAGAGTTGATCTCAAACCTCCAAAGACACATCTTGTAAATCTGAGGAAACCTCTTATACAGAACTAAGGAGGAAAAAAAGTAAGGGCTTATCTGGGAAGAAACAAATGACACTGTCAACAAGTAGTTTGTTTTTTTACTTAAAAAAAAAAAAAACGATATCAAGGAAGATCCACAGCCCAACAAAAGAACAGGAATCTTTCCAATGGTGTCAAAAAGGCTTGGATCAAGCCCCAGCTTTCCTGAAAACTAGACTTGCTAATTGCCTCACTCTTCCACTGTCAAAACTGTCATCTCACCAAACTGAAATACCTTTCCAGTATTGCTACAGGGCAGACATTTCCACATTGGTAATACTGGGAGCCACGTTCAACCAGCAGTCAGAACTGTCTAGGCTCCAGCTTTCCATAATGCTGTCTTACAAGGGCAGTAATTGCTGACAAAAGAAAAAATATATTAGCCATTCATCATTCTGTTTTTTTTTTTTTTTTTTTTTTTTTCAGACAGTACTTATTTTATCAATGTTTGTGAGAAGTTAGTTTCTTATGGTCTTTCCCTTCGTCGTATCTCCTACAAAAAGAAAAAAAAAATCTAAAAATTCTACTATCATATGTGCATCTAGCTGTCTGTACGAGATCACCCACTGCAGCTTGCCAGGTCAGGACTTCCCAACTAGCTCTTCAACACCTTGTAGTAAAGACATATTATGCACTTCATTATGCAGTTCAATAAGACACTTACAGAGAGATAATCATCAACTTTTTACTTATGTACTAGTGTGCACTTCCCTGCTTTTTGGATGTGGTGTAGCTCGGTAACCAACTTGTAGTTTACTACCACTGCAGAGCACATTCTACTTCTCAGGAAGTATCATGCTTCTATAATACATAAACTTCAGTAATGGAGGATCCCTTTCTCTGCTGTTATAAATCAGAAAATAGTTGAGCTACACCTGGATAAAATGTGATGAAAGGAACTGAAGAAAACAGTTTTAGCAAAGTATCTTGTTGATACTGGCCTTCTCCTGAAAGTAAGCAAATTACGCTATCTTTCATTACCACACCATCCCTTGAAATAATGCACCAGACCTTCACCTGGCATGACCATATCATTCAGTGAATATTCAGCCGTATTGATCTGTGTGCACAGAAGAACTTACACTGGTCAAAAAGTGATTATTTAAGATTATTTAAGGCAATACATAATACCTAATAGAAAAAAAAAACAGAAAAAAAAATAGAAAGCAAAGTATTGCAAGAAGGCTCAAAGTAAATAAATAAATAAATATATAAATAACAAACTTAGTCCAAAACAACCACCCACTATACTCCATATGAGACTTCAGAAATTACTCTGTGTTACAAATATACACTCATTTCTTAAGCATGGGTCCAAGTACTTGTGCAAATTGGTAAGGCTGCACTATTCTCAAATTAAAATTTCAACCAACCTGGATTATGATTGGTGTTTTTTAAAGTTCTGTGGCTGTCAAAACATGAAACATCAGAGTTAAAAACAAGTCCACACAGTGATCTTAAGTGTTCAAATTTGCAGTACGCTGTTACATCTTAAAAACTATTTCTGTTACTGCATTTCTGTTATAGATAAGTAAGATAAAAGTAGAGAACCTAATGTGTTTCTCAAAGTAAGCATTTCTTTCAAATTTTGGTGATTTCAAGAAATGGTAAAGCTCTTATATTAGCCATTTTTTACTCTTATGAACTCTGAGTAGTCTTGCCTATTATTATATAGGCTACATGTCATTAACTACCTGTATTCCTTCCCAAATTAAAACTAAGAAGCTAAAGAGAAATATTAGCATTCTGTTATTTCTCCTTGATTTTTCCTAATATTATTCCAAGAAGAAAACAGATTCAGCAAAAACTTTTCCCTTGTAAGCCTGAAAGGTAGGAAAAGCATTTTTTTTCTAAGAGTACTATTAGAAGGTTAGGTTTTTTTGGACATTCACACATCAAAACACTAAGCAAATGGCGCCAAACTCTGGTTACAATTGCTTTAATTTCTTGTATTTCTGCTCAAGCTAACTGAAACTATTCTTAAGGCAAGGATCCTGATCATGACAAGAGTGACTTAACTCCCACCGCAGTACACACATCCCCAGCTAACAGCAAAGCTTGAGACTTCACATCACAGACTTGGCTTCTCCACAGGAACATCAAATTGGAAGGAGACTTAGGATCAGCAGTTCCATCAGAGCAATATCAAAGTTGTAACAAATGGAGGAGGAGCCTACGGGACCAAAATAGCAAGGAGCCCTCATGTTTTTCTTTCCAAAATGGCACAAGCCTACAGAAAAGCATCATGAACAATAAATATGTTCATATAATTTCTAACTCACCCTACAGTTTTTTATTATTATTATTAGAAACCATAATTATCCTTACTTTTTCCCTCATTCTATGTCAATCATACTGTTTTTACTGTATTATTATAACTGAAAACATATAGAGCTATTTGCCCATCAGATCCTATGGTGTGCATAGAAAACACTGCAGTGAAATGTTTAAAGAGAACAAAGTATTAAGGCTTATAAAAGAATGAGTTTAATTAATTTAATTCTCCTTTAATTTTCAACTTCTGTTGTCATCTCCTCCAATGGAAGGTGTTACACCAGATTCTACCACCAAGGATTTGACATAGCATTTAAGGTAAATACTGCCTACCCAATGTACTACAAAGCTTCACAGCTGTGTCCCAAAAGACTTAAATGACTACTCAAACTCTATTGATATCACCCTTTTTTTGCCTCCCCTCCCCTCGCCTCGCCTCTCCTCGACAGTTACTATTATGGTCCATTACATATTTGTATGTAAGACTCAAATTATTTTATTTTGCACAAAGCTATAATTTACACAATTGCATTCCTGTAAAATTTGAATTTATTTTTTTCATTTATAGACAGACCACAATAAAAGGCTAAGAATACAGCTTTGTGCGTTATTTTCAAGTTCAATTTTAGAGTGTTTTCATCAAGTCCCAGTACTTTAAACGGCAGAGAAAACCTGTCATTGTATAAGAGGCTTTTAATTAACTGTGGACTCTTAACTCAAACTTAATACCAACATTATTGTTCATAAAGTACTGCAGGAAGAAAAGGGATGATTAAGTGGAATTTAAGTTGCATTGTTTTTATGGACTATAGAGAAAGGCATTGTAAAGCCATGTGTTGAAAACCATCTTGTCAGAAGTTCAGGGTCATAATCCACAAACTTCCAAACTACACCAGACTGCATTCATTAGTCTTATGAATTTAGGGAATCTATTGCATGAATTTAGAGAACCTGTTATATGTATCTGCCTCTTAATTCAACATTCACATGCAAATAAAAATCTCAAATACAAGTTGGTCTGAAATTGACTCTATCGTGCATTTGCCCATCTAACTGTTTAGAAAGCTTCCTTTTAAAACGTCATTTTAAAATTTTAACCTCAATGCATTGACAAGACAGACACTGATACACAATATCAGACTCAAGGCTTTCCCTCAGAGTGAAAGGACTATGAAATGGAATATGATGTTTGAAGTGAATGCTGGTCCACTGCAGACTACTGCAAGGGCTGAGTGAATAGGCAACATGTCAGGTACCCTTGCTACAGAGTTCTGGCAAGCTTAAAGGAAACTTGTGATGCTTTGTTTCATGTTCCTGTCAGATGCACAAAAAATCAGGAATAGTTTTACATAGATTTTCTAACCTCTCCTGGGACTTTCATGATTGAAGAGAATGCCGTTCACAGCAAAAAGATTGTAGGCCTCTCTGAAGTTCACCACAATCCAGTAGGCATACAGTTTTGCTGCTCCTATAAAAAAAAAAAAAGTTATGTATATCCACTCAGCTTTTACACTGTCCCCAGATAGAGACATATACGCTCTTCTCTCACACATGCAGGGTGGTGTCTGCCATCCATTAAAATAACCATCCATTAAAATTTGATTAATTGCCTAAATGTGTCATGTTTCGCATGGAAAAAAAAGACTCCAGCCCAATAAAGAGCAGCTGAATGGGAAAATATTCCTTTTCTGTACAGCCTCAGAACCAGTCAGGAAGTGTTTAAGTGCTCTCTCACTTGTTTCCTTATGCACATTCAAGCATAGTACTTTTTCTTTTACAATATAATTAACACAGCCAGAGCGTGTGAAATACGCCACTGTGTGACCTCTGCTAATAAAAAAAAAATGACTTTGGAGGAATAAAAGCGAAAATCTGGTGCCTTAACACTCAAATTGATTTGAAACTTTATCACCAAAGTCTTCCCTGCACAGTGCTTTAATAAGTGTTTCAAATGTAATGCAAGTTCATGAAGGAAGAAGTGAGCTCTTGGGAGTTTTTCATTTAGGCAACAAAAAGAATATGAAACCTTATCACTTCAATGCTATCTTACAGTCCTTTGTGAGGGAAGAGCCACCCTTCCCCCTGCTCTTTAGAAGAGCTCTCCACTTGTGATCTGAATGAACAGTCTTGTGAAGTGAGATGGTAATTTCCAACCCCCAGGCAATGGCAGCAAGCACTTTATATATAGTAATTCATAAAGGTATGCCTCTCGACATGTCTAGTCACTTTAGCTCTATCGTCATTCTCATCTCACACCCCGATGACTTCAGCCCTGAGACATGAGCTGGGAGAACAGACGTACAGACACTGACACACACACACACACACACACACACACACAAGCAATCCTTACCATAAGGCGATCTTGGGTAAAAAGGGGTGGTCTCTTTCTGTGGGATTTCTTGCACTTTCCCAAAAAGTTCACTGGTAGAGGCTTGGTAGAATTTCACTGAGTTGATAAGGCCACAGGTCTTAATAGCATCCAGGAGCCGTAAAGTGCCAACCCCATCAACATCGGCAGTATATTCTGCTAAGTCAAAAGAAATCTTGGGGAGGAGGGGTATAAAAAGAAATGGAAAAACACTGGTTTACTAACGACATCAGAACATGCAGTGATCATGTACAACCAAAACAAAGTAATAAATCATTTGTCATGAAACCATCTAGACACTTTTGGATGAACTTGATGCTCGATTTACAAAAGTACCCTCAAAGGATTTCTAAGAATAAACAAGTAGTTCCATAAATAGCTGGACTGAAAGAATGGTGTCCCATGAATCCCTCTCTTTCAGAGTTATTTTCCTGTGTGAGGTAATGGGCAAGCCTCCACGCAGTGGGAGCATTATCAGGCTGTTCCTCATCTCCACAGCTGCCAATTTTCACAACATTTGCCTGGGCTTAATATCTTTGACACAATTGAGTATGGTAAAAAATGTCTTAAACATATTTTAAAGTATAGGACAGACAGACAGTGTGATAATATAAAAAATTACAAAAAACACTACGCAAAGTCTAAAGTTTTGTAATTTAAATATACATAAAATGTAAGAGAAGAAATAGCTGCTATTAAATAAAACTCACAATCCCATATGGCCAAGGAGTATTAGAGTCCTGACTTGGGTGCATAATGTAGGGAGACAGTGAAGTCATGGAGGTAACCAAAGAAAGCAGACATCTCTTATAGTTGATATATTCTTCAAGATATGATAAAAGGCTCATGGGTGTTTGTAGGGCAAGGCTCCCCTTCTCCCTCTGCTTCAGTGGTTCTCAGTTATCTTTATGGAGGGTTTGACTGTGGCACATGCCACAAGATGATGTTTCAGCCTAAGCCTTCAGTGAACGCTATCAGAACACATTAATTCTAGTCATTTCAGTTACAGAAGAAAAATTAAGAAATTGAAAAAGTCAGCTGACGGTAAGAGATATGTTGTAACTAACTGCCTCAGGAGAAAACCAGCTTAGAATAATATTCACTGTGGTTGCTCTGAGGCTACAGGCTAGGGGTTCAGACGAGCCAGCAGAGCTCCTGCACTCCAACGAATCTCCTCACACTGGTGCCCAGCCCAGAAGCACGTTCCTCTTCCCAACCCAATATTTTGGTTCATCATGTCATTTTTTTTAAATAACAACAACAACAACAACAATAATAATAATAAATCCCTGGTTTTAGTAACAAAACCATAAAAAGAAAGTGGCACTGGACCTCTAGAGTGCTCTCTTTCATTGCCTTGGCCCAAGGAATAATGTGTCACCTTGAAAAAGAACATCCCTGTGTCACCTTGAAAAAGAGCATCCCTGTGTCACCACTGATAACTTCCAGCAATAAGCTTCCAGGAACAGTGATGGCAAAGTCACAGCCTCTTGATTTGACCTAGGCCAGAAGTTAGTGAGACTACCAAAAATATATAGATCTGTGATCCTCTCCCTCTTCTATCTTCAATGGTAGGGTGACTACTAACGGAGTACAACGTGAATGACTATTGCTGGCAGCTGAACTATCACAGTGAAATCAATGGGAAACTTGACACTTGTTGGGTATTTTTTCAGCTTTTCTGTAGATTCAGACAGATATCACAAATTCCTTTATCCTGTTAAAGCACTTTCTCTATTCAGTAACCACCAGAGGTTTCAGGCTTATTTACACAGCAGGTGAAATCAAAATAATTAGATTAATTTTAATTTGCACTTCTAGTTAATTTAACACAAGAAAGAAATTAGCTAAACCATGTTACCGTACTCCAAAATAAAAATGTTCTCACATATTTTTGAACCAAAATAGCTAAAGGTTCGAATTAAAACAAATTAAACTATATTTTTTTACCCAACAAGAAAAGCGAAACCTTATACTTTGCTTATTAACCTGGCACAACCTAGATGAAATACAGCACTGATCTACCAAGGAGTGCTGAGCATTTTCTGTTTTAAGCCATTTGCCACAGAAACGACAGCCGCTGAAGCCCTCTCAGCTTCGATGTTACAGTAACTCTTGGGAAAACATCTTAATGAACGGGTGAAATTGTCAACGTGCACTAATGAACATCAATTAGTATATTTACCATATGACTAGGGCCTTTATAGTAATATCACAGTACTGCTTCCGATTGCTTCCAGAATTGCTTTCCAGTATTGCAACTCTGCAAATGTAAATCTTTGCTGACATATTCTGCTTCACAGATTCTAATATGCACATCTCAGGTGGTCTTAAATCAGAAAAACATATCTTTCCAGCGATCCCACGTTATCGACCCCCTTACCAAAGCAAGCAATGAGGCCACAGGAGCAGCTCCAGGGACTGCTCTCAGCAGTCAATGCCCAGGGCAGTTTCACAAGATCTGCTTGTCCCTGTTGCCTCATGGATGACCTCAATCTTCACACAGAAAAATCAGGCTCCTCAGGCTGTGAGGCCACCCTGTTTGCCAGCCTCTGTGTGTCTTCGGAGCAGAAGCTGACAGCTTTCTGTGTTTCTGCTGCTTTCCTAACGTGGCCTGTTGTTCACTAGGGACAGGACTTGGACCACCAAACCATGGCATTTTGCTACAGCTGCAGTCACAAAAATGAAAAGTCTTATCCACTAAAACCTGCAATACAAAAAAATGCAGGACTCTCAGGACACTGCAGTGGCAGTAACAGCTCACATGACCTCACACCAGATTTTAATTTGATTCTAATTCAAAGTTAACAATGTAAACAAGTTTTATAAAATGGCAATATCAGGTGGATTAGACATTTATCAATGAAGTGGAACAGAGCAGGGAAAAGCACTCAGAGAAGAGCTAGATTCTCTAAATGTCACTCCTAGAAATGATCTTTGCACAGGCACTGAGCTCAGTGGGACTACTTTCATGGAAGGAACAACTTTCATGGAAATGATTGTTTGGAAAAAAAGGTGTAGGAAGGTTAAAAACAAGCCATGCCTTCTAATAGATTAAAGATTCACCCATTGTAAAAACAAAGCTTAGGTAATCCTAAAAAGATCAGTGTTTTCACGTGGCCTATGACAACCACTTTAAATGCCTAAATTAGGAAGTTCATCTCTCCATACACCTGTAAGGAGAGTGGCAAATCAGAGCATCCCAGTAGAGATGCTCTTGGCGATGCTTTGTAGAAACTCCTCAAAGAGTAGATACTGACTATCCTTTAACTTTGCTACCATTCTAGCGTCAAAGCCCCCAAACTGTCAACTATTACCAGCTTCTGTGTAAAGACTCATTGCAACTAAGAAGTGTTTCTGACAACCACCAGGTGAATGCACAATTACTGGAGTAGGGAAAATAAACTTCCTTGTCTCGCATGAACTTTTGAAATATGAATCTTTTGAACAAAGAGTATTAAAGGCCTAGAGTCAACGCTTCTTTGCTCTCTTTGGACAGGTTATTTGTGACTGACTTGAAAGCATCACCTAACAACAAAACAAAAATTGTCCATTTGAAATACCTTAGCATACTCCATTCAAAAAGTAGATGTAGCAGTGTATTGTTACAAGTGGACAGCTCAATACGGAGAGATTGAAATCCTTAGTTAAAAATATTTGAGTTCCAAGTCTTCTGGCACTGAAAAGCTTGCAGAATTGGCTCAAAAATATTAAAAAGGAACTAAATTTCTTGAGTACGAAGGAGTTTCGTAAACTAAGTATCATAGCTCATATGAATTTCACTGCTAGCCGTCATGGTAAATGTCAAAAGCATTTTTGGTAAGTGCAAATTTCCACAGAAAGTTATCCATAGCTTGATAAAATATCTGGGAAAAGCCTGATTTGTTTGTGTAGGAAGTTCCTGGTATCACATGACAAATGGGACACTAGCTCACACTATCTAACACAGGATGACAGCGAGTGTAGTGAACTATATATATGGTTTATTTTGAATTCAAATACTTTTTCCCATTTCTTTCTAATTGCCAGATTCAGTCCTTACACAAGATCAAAATTTAATAGAGCGATATTTTAAATGATGTTTCCCAATTGATCATTCAAAACCTAACTTAGCAAGATCTTCAACAAGATTTAAGAGCTTGCTGAAGGCTATCTAAATGGAAACATATGGGCCTTTTACCTTCCACAAGGACACATTCCTACCATGTCGATGGGTACTATATAGAACCCCACAGACTTAATTCTGACTACCAGCACTGGTCAATATTCTGAAAATAAATACCAAGTGAGAACACCTATAGGTGTGGCAATAAAAGTTCTTTTCTGTTTTGTATTTAAAATGATCAGGAGGATGGGCTGCAACCCATCCTAACAAAATAGGTTAGCTTCCTACCCAGAATAATGTGTGCTAGAGGAATATGCTCTAATGCTCTACCTAAGGTGTATAAATAATGATTTAAATTTCATCTCCTTTCTACAACTTTCTCAGCTCCAGAATATGTTTTTTTTAGAGGGCTGGTGAAATCTCAGGAAGAAATAGGATGATTAAAATGCAAGTTACTCATCTTTCACTGTAAAAACAGAAGTGGCTAATCTAATTATCGTATCAAATATATGTTCCTTGTACTCTTTAAAAGTTTACAGTAGTTTTCTTAGATTTATCAAAGTAGAAAATACTTATCAGATCTCTCAAAACTTTGAGAAAGGTTTACACCTGAGAAGAAAATCACAAAGAAGAGAAAACTGCTCAAAAATGCTTCATGTCTCACAAGCTTCATAGCGGTTACGTTTTTGTATTCATTAAAATAAATTCTGTTTGCTTTGAATATTCTGTGTGCTTTTTACTGCCAATAAAAACCACTGGGATCACTTATATCATCTCAATAAACAAACTGCTCAACCCCAAGGAAGCGGCATTTAAAGCATAACATTCCAGTTGCTAAATCTAATACATAATGTGGGCCAAACATTCCTATAAAGCTCTAACGCACTAAAAAAAATCGTAGGGATTTTAGGAAATCTAAAGATTTCTGTGGGGAAAGGCATAGAAGGCATGGGGAAGGACCTATATTTCTACCAAAACTTCAAGTAACCTCTAGAGAAAATGACAACCTCTCTCTCTTCTCTCCCAGCCCCTTAAATCATAATGAACTCATTGCCCTCTCACCCAATAAA